TCTCTGAGCTTCAGTGTCCACACCTTTGATTTCTCCACATAAGCAGCAACAGCACGTGCTTCATTTGTTGGATTGTTGTGAGAAATGAAAATAGTACAAGAAAAGCATCTGGTTCAGTGTGCAGGACTAGGTCTTTCCAGAACTTGGCATTGTATCAGAGATGATACAACTCTCATTTAAGAGTCACCTGCCATAGACAAGCACCTCAATCATGGCCCTCATGATTTGGACACACCAGAGGCACAAAATAAGATTATTTACATATTGTGTCTCATTCTTCAGGAAATGTACCAGCTCCTCCTTTTCCATTTGCAGTTTGTCTTATGCTCTAGACACAACTCTAGTTCATTGTACCACAAAATTTCCTTGTCGTATGACTGTGTTGCAGGAGATGAAGACAAGCAATAAAAATGTCTTGAGCCCCCTTAGTCTTCAACCCTGCTGATGTAAACTCTCTTCCTACTCATGCAAGCAGGTTATCTGGGAGAATGGTGCCATGAATGTGGGGTGCTAAGAGGGTGCTAGAGTGCGAAGCAGCTCAAGATCTCAGCTCCAGGTCGTCACTCACGTGGAGAACAGTGAGTGTGATGAACATCCCACATCCCTGTTAGGTGCAGAAAACCAGACAGTAGAACCTTAGCTCCCCAAGCTGGTGGATCCTGGATCTCTTCTGCTCCACTACCTGCAGCCCCCATTGTCTGAGCCCAGACATGGAGTCACTCTGTTTCTTATTCATACCCTCTCCTGGGGTTAGGGTAGAAATCAGTAGTTCCTGGGATATCACTGCCCTTGAAAACCCTTTGACTTGAATGGCCCATTCTATCAGGTTTGCTCAGGCACTCAGTTCTGCATTGGCCTCTCATACCAATCAAACAGCTGACTTGATAGCAAGCAAAATGGTATGGTCCCTTTGGGATCACACTGATGTTCAGGTCCCATCTCCACCATATCATCCTTCTGATCTTGGGAGTTGTTTTATTTTTTTTTTTTAGCTTCTAATACTCATTTGTAAACAAGGCTAATGGTAATGCTTCTTAACACCAAGAAAGCAAAAATTCTTACCACTGGACCAGTAGACAACATTATGATAGATAAAGATTGAAACTGTTAATGACTTCATCTTACTTGAATCCACAATTGCTACACTTTATACCAGTAGTCAGGAGATCATGGGAGATGTATTGCACTGGAAAAGTACACAGTCAGGGAACTTTTCGAATTATTGAGGAGCAATGATGTATGTTTGGGCCTCATTCATGCCATGCTCTTTTCAATCACTTGCTATACTTCTGAGAGCTGGACATAGGTATGGAATAAGTATGACAGAAAAAGAATTGATCCTGTTGAACTGTGGTGTTGGAGAAGAGTACTAAAAATTCCATAGACTGCCAAAGAATAAATAGATATGTCTTGGAGAAGGTGCAACCAGAGTGCTCCTTGAAGGCAAAGATGATAAAGTTTTGTCTCGTGTACTTGGGGCATGTTTCTAGGGAGGCTATTTCTTAGAGATGGACATTATGCTTGGGAAGGTAGAGGGGTAGTAAAAGAGAGGAAGACCTTCAACCAGATGGATTGACAAAGAATCTATAGCAATGGGATCAGGGTGTCAGAGATTCTCAGGATAGGACAGGGTTCAGATCTGTTATTCATAGAGTTGCTAAGAGTTGTACTAGACTCGATGGCATCTAATAACAACAAAAAAACGACAGTGCATAAACTTTTAAGAAGATTAACTGGCAATATTGTGAATAACCTACAGTATAGTTCCTGACACAAAGCTAATGCTCAATAAATACGTGTTGGAAGGGTGAGTGAGTGATCAACTCCTTCCAATCGAGAAGATTGCCTTGGTTCTAGAATGTTCCCTTATTACTTGGGCTCTGTCTTGTGATGAGGCTGGAGTCTCCCTTGTCTGCCACAGCTCTTTATACACTCTCTGTTTGTTTGAGGTTATCTGGGCAGAAACCTGAGGCTAAGCATAGGTTGAGGTAGGTGGCAAAGAGGATGGGGTACACATTAGAGATGTTGTTGTTGTTATGTGCCGTCGAGTCGCTTGCGACTCATAGCGACCCTATGTAAAACAGCCCTAAACTCCGCTCTGTCCTGTGCCAATCGCACTGTCTCCGACACTCCCATCTCAATTATCCCAGTCACTGAATCAATCCACCTCATAGAGGGCCTTCCTCTCCTGCGCCATCCCTCCACCCTCCCAAGCATGATGTCCCTCTCTAAGGACCGGTCTCTCCTCACAACATGTCCAAAGTATGTTAGACGGAACCTCAGAATCCTTGCCTCCAAGGAGCCACCCAGTTTAACCCTTTCCAGGACAAATCTGTTTTCCTAGCAGTCCATGGTATTCTCAATACTCTTCTCCAGCACCACAACTCAAAGGCATCAATTCTCCTTCTATCCTCCTTGGTCATTGTCCAACTCTCTGATGCGTAACAAGTGATTGCGAAGACCATGGCCTGTATCAGACGCACCTTAGTCTCCAGAGAGACACCATTGCTCTTCAGTACTTTGGAGAGGTCCCTAACAGCAGACTTTCCCATGGCAATGCGCCTTTTAATTTCCTGGCTGCTGGTGCCAAGACTGTTGACTATGGAGCCAAGCAAACTAAAGCTATGTACAATCTCAATCTCTTCACCATCCATCCTGATGCTGCCAATTGGTCCAGTGGTGAGAATCTCTGTCTTCTTGACATTGAGCCTCAATCCATATTGTAGGCTGCAGTCCTTTACACTCTGCAGCAGGCGCTTCAGGTCCTCTTCAGTTTCAGCAAGCAGGGTTGTGTCATCCGCATAACGCAGATTGACCCCACATTTCTCCTCATAGAGCCCAGCCTCCTGGATAATCTGTTCTGCATATAGGTTGAAAAGGTATGGAGATAGGATGCATCCCTGGCGTACGCCCTTCCCAATTTTGAACCATGCAGTGTTCCCTTGCTCTGTTCTGATGACTGCCTCTTGGTCCAAGTATAAGTTTCGCATTAGAACGATCAAGTGTTCTGGGATTCCCATTCTTCTCAGAGTCAGCCATAGTTTGTTGTGATCTACACAGTCAAATGCCTTTGCATAGTCAATGAAACACAGATAGACATTCCTCTGGTATTCCCTGCTTTCAGCCAAGATCCATCTAACATCAGCTACAATATCTCTAGTACCACGACCCCTTCTAAACCCAGCCTGGACTTCTGGTAGTTCTTTGTTGATGTGCTGTTCCAGTCATTTTTGGATAATCTTCAGTAGAATCTTGCTTGCATGTGAAATCAGTGAGATTGTTCTGTAGTTTCCACATTCTGTTGGGTCACCTTTCTTTGGGATAGGAACAAATATAGATCTCTTCCAGTCAGTTGGCCAAGTGGTTGTTCTCCAGAGGGGGCAAGGAGAGTATGAAGGGGGAGGAGAGAAAAGAGAAGATGGTCAAGGTTGGAAAGATTCAGCAATTGCTGGCTTCCTCATGCCCTGTCTCTGTGGCCTGGTGTCACTGTCCACTCACTCTCTTCTCACTCACGGCCCCTATTCTTCTTTTTCTGTGAATTAAGGGAGCTGTTAATTTTTTTCCAGTGGCCAGTTTGCATTTGATCAGGGTCAGCTGGGCTTGAGGGGATAATCTGGTCACTATTATTCCTCAGATTTAAAAGGATTTATAAAATTGAGAGTTCCTTCATAAGAGACTGGGTATGTTGAGGAGAAGAAGAGGAATTAGAAGCAGGCAAGGAAATGAATCTGATTTTCTCTCCCAAGTGTCAGTGACCAGTCTGGACAGCCTACTGTGTGCCAGGCACTCTGTGGCCCGCTCCATGCCAGATGCCTAAGGTATATGTCTCACTACCTGTGAAGTCCCCACTTGAGAGATGAATGAAGTGCCCAAGGAGGTTAGGTGACTTGCCCAAAACAGCACAGCTAGAATGTGGCAAGAGGCGGGAGGTTTGAACATACATGTGTAGTGCTCAGAGGGGGAAGGAGTTGATTGCAAGCCTACAATCAGGATTTTGCACTTAAAAGCATTATTCTGAGAAAGGGGTCCTGGGTTTCATCAGGCTGTGGGAGGAGCTCCAAACATCAAAAAAGTTATAGACTGCTGCCCTGAACGCCTGAGAAACGGAATGTGGTCTGTTCTGGGGGAGCTGGCTAACAGCTGGGCAGCAAATGGAGCAGGGTGCACAGTAGTGCATGTCTGAAGCATGCTTTCCAGGACACACACCTGAGCAGTGTGAGCCCCGAGGGCCTGGGACAGAGCGAGGGTGCGTTAGAGAGGGTTTTCTGTCTTTAGAAGGTCTTTCACCAACACTTGTTCCATGCCTAGCACACAGTACATTCTTCCTCCCTAGAGGTGAGGGATCTGTAGAATATGGTTGGTGCCCCCTTAGTATGTGTATGGAGGGCCACTTGTGAGTCTGGAAGAACAATAGCAATAGCATATACATGCCAACTTCTGATAGTGTACACATTGTCTCTCTATATCTTGGGAGATGAGAATAGTAAATGTTTGCACGTATTCCAAAATGTGAATGAAGCCACTGAGCCTCCGAGAGCAAAGTACTCAAGGTTTGCAGAGCTAGTAAGTGACAGGCTATGTAACTGAACCCTAATTCTGAAGCACGAGAGAATAAGAAGAGCGTCTTGGGCTGGAGAGATGGAGGTGAAGTGGGTGAGAGGCCTGGAGGCCTGGGCCTGGGCAGGGCCATCTGATCCAGGAGGGCCTGAGGCACTGGTTCAGGTTTTCCTGGAGGGGAGTGTGATAGGATCCAGTAACGGTGTGTCCTCCGGATGACTTCTGTAGGTGTGTTTAGTGACATGCTCAGCAGGTGCGAGAAAGATGGGTCAGTGCCAAAAGCCCAGCCCAGAGATTTTTCAGATGTTTCCCTTTATGCCCCTGTTACCAAGCCCTTCTGCTCCAGCACATATAAGAGACCCAGGCTGAGGGTTCCAGCATTCATCTACCTGGTCCCTCTCGCTCTGTCTGATACCTCCAAGCTCACTTGCTTCTCTCCAGCCATGATCTCCAAACAGAGCATCCGAGGAGGGTCCCGGGGCTTCAGCGGCAGCTCGGCTGTTGTGGGTGGGAGCAGAAAGGCTGCCTTCAGCTCTGTCTCTGTGTCTGGGGGTGCAGGCCGCTGCTCTTCTGGAGGCTTCGGCAGCAGGAGCCTCTACAATCTTGGGGGGAACAAGAGCATCTGCATGAGCGTGGCCGGCTCTCGTCAAGGTGCCGGCTTCGGCGGTGCTGGAGGTTTTGGAGCTGGCGGCTTTGGTGCTGGTTTTGGTGCTGGCAGCTTTGGCGGTGGATTTGGGGGCTCCTTCAATGGTCGAGGTGGTCCTGGATTCCCTGTCTGCCCTGCTGGAGGCATCCAGGAGGTTACCATTAACCAGAGCCTGCTGACCCCACTCCACGTGGAGATTGACCCTGAGATCCAGAAGGTTCGGACCGAAGAGAGGGAGCAGATCAAGACCCTCAACAACAAGTTTGCCTCCTTCATTGACAAGGTGAGAAAATGGTGGGTCAAGCCCAGGGTCCAGGGGCCTCAGGCCTGAGCCTGCTGTGGCCATTGGGAGAACTCCAAGCTCCTCTGGGCCTCAGTTTTTCAAATGTCCAAGAGGAATCATCATCATTATTCTGTCTCTTCTGTCCCATGGCTAGTGGGTAGATAGAGATGTTGTTCAAAGCAGTGGAATTTTATGGATATGCTGCATAAGGAGGGCAAACAAGCCATCTTCATTTCCTGTAGTCACCCTAGTTACAAAGCAGGATCATTAGATCCCTGCTTTTTCTCAAATTTTGGTTTTGGGAATAAGCAATCAGCTATGAATAATTCCTGGGAACTAATTACATTTAATAAATTGCAACAATATGCAATACAATGGTCATTACCATGTTGATGAAAATACCTCCTGGGAGGAGACTTCAAGTTCAGAAGGTGTTATTTGTACAAAATTATGATAGTAACACAATCATTGGTTCTTTTTTGGAGCAGAAGTTCTTTTGGTTTTTCACGTGAGAGGGACTCTCACAGGGCAAACAAGGAACCCAGACCCCTGGAGGACTGCAGGCCATTGCAGTGGCGGGTCTGGGTCTCATCAGAATCCTGCGTGGTCACTCTCCCATTTCTGAAAGCATTTCCTTCTTCTGTGTCTGTTTGAAGAAGGGCCTGGACTTCCTTTTGTAACCCAACTTCTTTCTTCATGAGACATTAGAGTGCTTTCAACTCAGTTACTGTCAGTCAAGTATGAAAGATTGTGAGCAGAGCAGTCACAGAGAGCTGAGTCACCCCCAAATCAGGGACTTGCAGGAGGAGTGGAGAACTTGTGGCTGAGGCTGGCCCTGTTTTCTGTAGATCAGTGTCTCAGTACACTTAAACTCATGAACAAACAATCTTGAGTTAATTGAGGGGGGATATTTGTTCTTCTTGCTAGGTTGAATGAACACGTAGTACTTAAAAAGGCTTTATTGTGACTCTAGTTCCTATAAAGACTAAGCATTTAGTGCTTCTTTATCACATTTCATCTTAGCCTCCCTTCTGAGTTTGAATTGTGGTCACCATCCTTGCTTTCTTTTAAACACTAAAACACATAAAGAAGAGACATCATGCTAATCCAAAACCTTTGTTTGGCATGTCATACAGGGAGGGAAAGCTAAGGGAAAATCCTTTGAACTGCACTAAGTTCTGAGTATAGATATTTAAGGCTTTGGCCTAAATATGTGCACAGGTTCACAGGTTAATTTGTAAGTAAACTTATATAAACACTATATTTAACAAATATGCCTTTTATTTGCCTTAAGTCACAATCACTTTGAATTGAGCAAACCTCGTTTATGGTTGTTTCTATTATCTTTATTATTTCATTATTCATAGAAGTTTGATGTACTTAAGCAGCTCCTCTTTTGGATCTCTGTGATTAGAAAGTTGTTCCTGCCCTGTTGTCAAGGTTTGGTGCCCTGGTTGTAATCTGTTCTCCACAACCCACATGGCCATTTGCTGCTATATCTCTGGAGTGGAGCCACCACATTGATCTTAATGAACAGTGCTCTGGAGTTGCAACATGGTGGTGGCCTTTAGGTTGCCTGGTTTGGTGGGATTGACCAGATGCTGACCTTGAAGTGGACCTCCTGCCAAAGTCTCAAGTCTCGATCAGTTAATTGATGCCTTTTTCAACATAGGTGCGGTTCTTAGAGCAACAGAACAAAGTCCTGGAGACCAAATGGAACCTCCTTCAGCAGCAGACAACTACCACATCCAGCAAAAATCTTGAACCCTTCTTTGAGACCTACCTTAATGCACTCAGGAAGCAGCTGGATACCTTGAGCAATGACAAAGGACGCCTTCAGTCTGAACTGAAGGCCATGCAAGACAACGTGGAGGACTTTAAGACCAAGTACGCAGGGAGGAGGGTAGGGAGGGCTCCCTGGGCTTCTCTCCAGTGGCTTAGACTTGGGCTTTGCAGAGATCTTGAAGAGCTCAGGAAGGTCATTCACTCTTTCTGCTTCCATATAGTCACACTTGAATGGGGTGAGGTTGCCCCAAACAGAAGATGAGTGATAGATTCAAGGAGCTGGATTAACTGTATAAAAACAGATTAAGAACTGAGCAGATGAAAAGCAGTGTAGTATAGTCAGGAGAAGATAGATGGGTTATAGAGGCAGGTAGATTTGGTTTAAATACTATTTCCTCCACTTACTAGTTATTTGTGTGTGACCTTCCCAGCTGTTGATTAACCCTTCTGAACCTCATTTTTCTTCATCTGTAAATGAAGATAACATTCCTTCTGCATATTTGTGAAATAAATGAGATGGAGAAAGCATATAGTATATAACACTGGACATATAGTGAGTAGACAATAATACATAGTAGCTCTTACTATACTCGCTCTGACATGAGATAGAAAATATCAACCTTCCTTTATGAATTTGCTCTTACACCAAATAAAAGGAAATGGACTGTTGGCAAGAGTTCTGAGACTCTAATCTACGCAATGGCTGAAAGAATAGCCCTTCAATGGCAAGAAATAAAATAAGATCACTATTGGTTCTTCTTTTCATGTTATATCTCTTGAGAATAGTCTCTTTTATGTTTGGTTTCCATGTCTCCAAATAAACTAATGTCTAGACTGTTACCTTGTACATAATAACTACTCAACAAATAGAAGTTAACTGAATATCCGTGTGAAAGTGGAGCCAACTACTTTGATGTTTCTAAATAGCTAGGTGTTTGAAAACAAGAAGCAAAAGTCTGGGAAATATTAGCTCACTGGAGGGCTCTCCCCCCACCTTCTTGTCCCCACTCCCAGGTATGAAGATGAGATCAACAAACGCACAGCTGCTGAGAATGACTTTGTAGTCCTCAAGAAGGTAAGAGATGAAGTGGGTGAAGAAAGTTTCCTTTGGGATTGGTCTTTGTCTTGAGTTGTGAGTTTGGTCCATATCTGCCTCATCTCCATTCCATCTGGTGTTACCCAGGTCAATGTAACCACTGGAAACAGGTAATTGAGCTAGGTTTTAAAGAGTTAATATTAGGAAGAAAGCTCATCTGGATAAATGATTTCTATGTCTGCAGGTAGATTTAGAGAGAAAAGATATCAAATGAATTGTCCCTCACCACCTTAGCTGGTGTTGCTCAGAACATCTTTGGTGTCATGAGATGTCCTGTCCTTATTCCAATTCCTCTGCTCTTGCCCCCTTCCTGTGCAGGATGTGGATGCTGCCTACATGAACAAGGTGGAGCTGGAAGCCAAAGTAGATGCCCTTAATGACGAGATCAACTTCTTGAGGGTCTTGTATGATGCGGTAAGGATGTCATCCTGCCCCACTCCCCTCAGGGAAGAGGAATTTCTTATTTTGGAGATTGCTGAGTGGAATTTACAACTCTTTGAAAAGACTTCAGCTCCCTTATGTCAGGGCAGTAGGTTCTCAGGAAGGTCATGGATGTAGAGGGTTAAAGTGAGAGATTCAGCTAGGAGGAGCTCAGAGCCAGAGGTTATTTTTGAAGAAGTGATTAGATCCACAGGTTGCTTAGGGTAGAATTCTTTGCTGTCTGTCATTCTTCTGGTGAAATGAACTCATTCCATTCTCTTCTTTCCAACATCCTGCCTACTCTCTGTGTTAGATAAGAAGCACCTTATAGTTTCCAGGGAGCAGAAAAGGTGAGAGGAGTTATTTTTCAGTCCTGAGATATCACCAGCCACTTGATTCCTATATAGCAATTTACTTACCCACCTCCCCAGAAATGTCAACTCTGCTGTGGTTTGGCTGTTTCCATGACAACAATGCATTTCTGAAGTCAGAGGTCAGAGAAGACTTTCCCTGAGAGGTTGATGGGAGACATTTGCTTTGTAGGAGCTGTCCCAGATGCAGAGCCATGTCAGCGATACGTCTGTGGTGCTGTCCATGGACAACAACCGCAGCCTGGACCTGGACAGCATCATTGCTGAGGTCCGTGCACAATATGAGGAGATTGCCCAGAAGAGCAAGGCTGAAGCTGAGGCCCTGTACCAGATCAAGGTATGTGCTGGAGGGGGTCTCTCGGGAGACAAAAACGGTTTACAGGGCTCTACCTCTGATGCCTATGAGCATGTCATCATCACTGAAGCTGAAGAGAAGTCAGGTCAGAGATGAACCTATTTTTCCAGGTGCCCCTGATCTCCCCTGATTTGCAATGACTCATTATTTGTATTTTCCTTGCCACTTGTGGCTATTCTCTCAGAATCCACTGACTTGAGAATGGATTCTACACAATCACTTCTAACCCCTGGGCTCTGTGTCTTCCTGGCTGTCAGGTCCAGCAGCTCCAGGTGAGAGTTGACCAACATGGCGACAGCCTGAAGAATACCAAGAGTGAGATAGCAGAGCTCAATCGGTTGATCCAGAGGCTGCGGGCTGAGATTGAGAACGTCAAGAAACAGGTAAGTGTCACCCCCTTCAAGCCAAAGTACAGGGCCAGTCACCTAAAGCAGATGTCTCTGTGGCAGGCTAATAGCTAAGGCACTAGGCCAGAAATCCTGACTTTGTCTGTAGAGAATTTGTAGCTTTTACATAAGCTGTATCCAGATCTTCTCAGCATAACAGTGTTATAATCTTCAGCTCTAGTGACTGAAATGCATGAGTCAAGGAAGACAATGATAGCACAGATTCTTGCTATTTTCAACTCAAGAAAGTTGACAAAGGGAAAGAGGACAGGTGTAGAGGCATTGGAAGGAGAACACTAAGGATTGTCTGTCTAATGCCCTTGTCTATAGTGCCAGACTCTGCAGGCATCTGTGGCTGACGCAGAGCAGCGTGGAGAACTGGCTCTCAAAGACGCTGACACCAAGCGGACAGAGCTGGAGGCTGCCCTGCAGAAGGCCAAGGAGGAACTGGCCCGGATACTGCGTGAATACCAGGAGCTCATGAACGTGAAATTGGCCTTGGACATTGAGATTGCCACCTACCGAAAGTTGCTAGAGGGCGAGGAGTGCAGGTGAGGGTGGCAGGATGAATTGGAAACATGAGGATGACGGGGTGTGTCTAGAGCCATGCATTTGCACCTCTCAAACACCATACTCAACTCAAACTCATTGCTGTTGAGTTGGAACCAACTCATAGCTGAGCCCCAGTGGGTTTTCTGAGGTGGTCGATTGTACAGGAGGGGTTCCCATGGAACCTCTGATGGATTCAGACTGTCTTGTAAACCTAGTAAGCACATGTAGAAAAAGCTTGAGACGTGATGTGCTAAGTAAGGAGTGGAGTGTAGCTTGGGGCTCTCTGTGACTCACTCACTACCCTCTCTCTCCACAGAATGTCTGGAGAATGCCAGAGTGCTGTGAGCATCTGTAAGTATTTCAGCCTCAGCCATGGCCATTTGCTCAGCTTGGTTTGGCCTGGGACTCCTAGTTGTTAGCGCTGTGGGAATAACCTGTGTCCTATGACTCTCTCCACAGCCGTGGTCGGTGGTAGCACCAGTGCTGGAGGCATTGGCGGAGGCTTTGGCCTGGGCGGTGGCCTCTGCTCTGGCTCTGGAAGTGGCTTTGGATTTGGCGGTGGAGTCTGCGGCAGTTCCAGCAGCAAGATCATCTCTACTACCAACCTGAACAAGAGATCCTTCCGATAGAGGAGACATGGCTGCCACAACCTGCTGAGCCTCATCTGTCCCAGTCCTGCTGTCTTTCCACTTCCTTCACTTTGCCTTCACCCTCCCTCTCTGGGCCTCGACTGACCAGTGTCACCTCCACTGTCCCCTGGGTGCTCTCTGTTCCTGGATGATGTTTTTTTTTCTCCTGACCCCTTGAAGTTTGGAGGCTTCTTGTCAATTTGGGCCTCGTGGCCCGCATGGAATGAGAGGAGTATCAGCTGACCTGCCACTTCCTATGGACAGAGGAGCTTCATTTACAAATTTCTCCTTCCAGCCCAATGCGGGCTCCCACAACATCCTGGATATCCCTCTACATGAAGACCAAACTCGATCTCCATCAACTGGCATCAGCTGGCCCTTCAGGGTCAGGACAAGAATGGCTGAGCCCCATCTAACTCTTTTCATTTCTTCTACCCAACTTCTGGTGAATCCTCAATAAAATGCTTTTGTCATTCATTTTGAGCAATTGTCTTTGTTCTCTGGGGGCAAGCCTTTAGAATCCCTCGTATCCAGATACAATGAGTCATATGAAAGTAGCTTCTGGGGCCAGAAGAATCTGTCTATACAGATTAAAATCATCAGCTGATTTCTCAGATGTCTACTTCTGAGGAGCCCAAGATTATTGAGGGGGATGGGCAGTGCGTGGAGTCTGTGTACAGAGCAGATGTACAGGTTCCAAAGATAACCAACAACAGCACAAAGAACTCTCATGATAGGGCAGTTCTGGTGCATCCCCAGAAAAATATCGAGGCTGAGATGGACTTTAAGGGAAAGAATCTAAGTCAGGCGGTGTGTTGAGACCTCAAGAGGAGGTATGAGGAAAAGGCTGGCAACAGACAAAAGACAGAGTAGAGAGTGTTCATTCTCAGTGTCTAGCAAGACCTCTTGATTTTCATTCACCTCTGTGAATGGTTTTCTGGAAGCTGTTACAGAAACATAACAAAGTCAAGTCCTCAATGAGAATTCATGCTTGCTGCATTTCCTATCCCCTCAATCATGCTTAACATTGTGTTCATGTCGCTGTCCCTAACTGGTGGGCACACAGGAGTGGGAAGGGAGGGAGGAAGGTCTTCTGGAGCAGTGGAGAACGAAGCTGAGGTAGTTCTGGAAGTACTGGTTGGTGAAATGCAGGACGGGGAAAGGGCAGACAGAGGTGGGGACTGGGCACAGCTTTGGATGTCACCTTGCTTTTCAAATCAACTTGACCCAACTAATTTCTGTTGAGTTGGAGCCAACTCAGTGGCACAAGAGAAGATTGCTCATCTTTCTCCCTTGGAGTCACTGGTGGATTTGGACTTCGGGAGGGGTGTGGCCTTTCAGTTAGCACTGTAACTCCCTAAGGACAAAGCCATGCAGAACCAATTCCAAGGTGCTCCAGGCAGTGTAATCTCTTTGCCAGAGAAAGCCTACGTGGTTCCCCATCTGCTGTTAGAGTTGTAACTGTCAGCTGCCATCCAGTTGACCTGACTCATGATGACTCCATGCACAATGGAAAGAAGCTGTCATGATCTGTGCTGTCTCCATTGTTGCTTGCAGATTGGACTGTTGAGTAGGATTGAGTGATTTTTCAGTAGGTGATCGCCAGGCCTTTCTTCTTAGTCTGCCTTGGTCTTGCTATTTAGCATCATAGCAACACGCAAGCTTCCACTGAGAGACAGGTAGTGAAATGTGCATGATGTATATTGGCTTGAAATAAAACTTGGCTCTTCTACATGTTAGGAGCTCTGGTGGCCTATTGGTAAGAAGTTGCACTGCTCCCAAAGGCACACAGTTCGCATCTACTGGTTGCTCCATGGTAGAAGGATGGGCAATCTCTTGCCATGTGATTTACTGCCTCTGAAAACCTGCTAGAGGGTCAGCTATGAGTTGGTTCCAACTCCACAGCACACAATAACAACAACACTTTTGCATGTCATTGTTAAGTGTTGTTGAGTTGAGAAGACTCAAAGTGATCCTATGAACAACAGATTGAAACTTTGCCCCATCCTGGACCACCCTCACAATCTCTGCCATGTTCAAGTCCATTGGTCGAATCACTGTACCAATCCATCAAATTGAGCATCTTCATTTTCATTTCTTCTTTTTTGTTCTTCTGTGTGGAAGGTAAAGATTCTACAACTGACCCAACAGTGTCCTCTCTCCATCCATAACCTGACCCAAGTCCCACCTCAGGCAGATGCACACTTTCCTCCCTTAGCTGCCCACTAACTTCAATTCTTCCACTGTAATCCTGTGGGTTTTTTGATTGGGGACCAAAGGAGCATACAGTTTGCTCAGTCCCAAGGCTCAGAGCTAATCTGCCTCGGGGAGCAGAGCAAAGCAGTAAAAGTGTTAATTTCAGGGCACTTTTCAGGAAGCAGCTACTCTTAGGGCTGATGGCTCTATTCTTCACCAGCCCAGCTTAATCTCTCATTGTCTGAGGGTTTACCTCTGTGTGTGTCACAACAGGAAGTCTCTGCAGCCAGGCTTTGATTTCTTCCCACCATTGCACCCCCCTCCCTAGGAAAAGGCTGAATTGGCTCTTTTCTGAGTTTCTAGGGTGGAGAGGAGGAGTTAAGGGTTGGAACCAGGGGTAGGATTTGTCAGTTTCAGCCACCAGGAGGCTGCAGCTGGGACAGGCTCCTGTGAGAAGGGGCAGGCCAACACGTTTCTCACTCCCCAGTAAGGGAGGTGTCGGGGAGTCAGTCACCTGGGTGGTAATGCTAGGTCTTTTTTAGTGCCACTTAGTTGAATGGAATGATTTACACAGCGAAGTCAGGCTGTAGATTATATAAATATGTGAGTGTCTTGAATGAACTTGTTTTTCCAGCCAAGTTGTTATATGTCTTTTATTTATATAAGAAAACTATTTTACTTAAAAGAGGAGAAAATATTGGCATTTATTTCTTGAATAATCAAAGGGAGGGGATCTTGACTATGAATCTTAAGCTTGGAGTTGGCTAGCTACCCTAAAGGGATTACTTGGAGGGAGGGATTCTGAGATAATAAGTACCCCCTTCTTACAGATCCTTTGAGATGAGTCCAGGTGAGCTGTGGGGACATAGGCTGCATTATTTGCTTCTTTGGAGGCCTCACACTCTGCCTCTTCCCTTAATTACTTTTCTTCTGGCTTAGTGAATATACTAAGGAATTGCGCTGTCAATGCAAAGGTATGCAGTTCGAATCCACTAGCTGTTCTGTGGGAGAAAGACGGGCAGTCTTCTCCCTTGTGATTTACTGCCCCTGAAAACTC